CCAACAGTATTTCAGCTGTAATGCCATACTCAGCTTTCAAGGAAGATCAATGGCTGATAAACTTCCATATCAAAGGAAGAATAACTTTTCTATGTGCTATTTATCTAGCAAATAATATACGCCTTTTCAGCCTTTTTTACACAGATCAATGTTTTCATTTTTTGCTCCTCCCCCTTTTTTAATTTTTTTTTTTTTTGCTTTTAATTTGCTTTCGAGCCAGCCTGGCAGGTTCCTTGCAGCCAGGGTCCCTGCACGGCGCCGGCCAGGGCAGGGGAGCAGCAAAGGCTGCGAGAGCGGAGGGGCCAAGACGCAGCAGGGAGGGCGCCCGGGCGCTCTGCGCGGCCGCCCCGGAGGCAGGAGGGACCCGCGGAGGTGCCGGAGAGCCCCGGCCGAGGCTGCCGGCGCGGAGCCCTCGGTGCCGAGCGGGGGCTGCCCGCGAGGCGGCTGCGAGGGCTGGGCCAGGCCGGAGCGCGGCGCTGCCCTGGTGCCGGGCGCTTCCCGGAGCTGCCCCGCGGCCCCTGCCCTGCGCTCACCACCCCGCTCTGCTCCTGTCTTGCAGATTACATGAAGGAGTCTGTGTGCAGCTCCAGCACTTGTTCCCTCAACAGCAGCGAAAACCCCTACGCCACCATCAAAGACCCCCCCATTCTCACGTGCAAACACTCGGAGAGCAGCTACGTGGAGATGAAGTCCCCCGGCCACAGGGAGTCCCCGTACTCAGAAATGCCGACGTCAGCCACGGCCACAAAGAACATCTACGAAGTTGGTAAGTGCTGGGCGCCCTGCCCGCGTGCAGCCTGGAGCTGCTCCGAGGCTGCCACAGGCCTGCGGAGCAGCAGAAGTGCCGGGTGTTTGCTGAGATCCTGGGCTGGGTCCTGGAACGGCCTCCGCGGGCGCGTGCGGCTGGCGGGAGCGTCCGGAGGCCGCGGCCCGGGGGCTGCAGCCTGCTCTGACCGCCCCTGCTCCCGCAGAGCCCACGGTCGCCGTGCTCCAGGATGCCGCCCGTGGCCGGAGCACCGCTTACCTCCACAGCCCATACGACCTGCCTCGCAACAGCCACATTCCCAGCCACTACGACCTGCTCCCCGTCCGGCACAGCCCCACGCACGGGCCCTCTTGGGACGCGCAGTCCTAAAGGGAGGAACTTCTCGGGCACGGCGCGCTGCGGATCCCGCGGAAGGGAAGGCGCCCTCCCTTTCGGCGCTGCAGGACGTCGGCACCGCGGCGCTGCCGCCCGCGAGGACCCGCCGCAGCAGGACCTGGGCCTGGGCCAACAGCTGCATGGCCTTATTTAAAAGGCCCTTTTTAAATGGGCCACAGGAACAAGGGGACCCTCCCGATGCGGAGCTGGGACACGTCACCTGAGCAAGGTGCAAACCCTCCGTGCCGTGTTTGCACCTGGCTTTGCTGTAAAACAGAACACAGACTTTCGCCATAGAAGCACTTGCAGTAAAGCTGGACAGCCCCGCCGGCTGCCTCGGGGAACCTGTCGCTGTTACGGCCAAGGGGACTAGGATTATGCTGGAATCCATTTTACATCTTTGTCATGGAAATGGGCATTTTCCTGAACGAGAGCAGGGCATTTTACGGTTGCATCCAGCTGCTCCGTGCAGGAACCTCCCGCGTGGCCATCGCCGTGTGCCCCGGCGCAGCCCATGCTCCGTCATCAGCTCTGTCACCTTCACATTCGCATTAAGTACCAGGGTATTTGAGCAGAGGAATTTTACATACGCCCATTCTGCACCGCTTTACAACCTGACATCATCACAAACACCTTTAAAGTTTGACAATGATTGAGTTTAAGCAATGAGACTTCTGCCCGGCTTACCCCATTTTTTTTTAAACACTCTATAGACTGCTTGGCTTGTATGGATATTATTTAATTTTCTTTTCACAGCCTCTTCTTTACCAGATAAAGGTGCCAGGTGGTGCAAACCGGCCCAGCTTCATCACGGCTCAGCCCAGAGCACCACCCAGCTGCCACGCACCCCTCAGGAGCCTCTGCATTACCATGTAGTGCAACTTTATCCACTGGTGACTCTACCTGAGACGGCACTAAATTAAGCTGCAACTGGATTTGCTTTTTCAGCAGCTGTTTGTGAAATATTTATCAAGAGGTTGGCAAGGGTAAAGCTTTGGACTAAGCCACCGTGACTATTTTTTGTAACCTTTATTGACCTAGAAAGTAGAATACTTGCTGTAAAGCAGTTCCTTGTAGATTTTGAGCATGAAGTAGTCTTGCCTCTAAATATGTAGTTTTATTAGGCAAACGTGGGAGTAGCAAGGTGATTGCTTCTTAAATATATATAAAACAAACTTCTGTTGCACATTGGCCAGTCAGATGGAGCTCTAAGAGAAAGCAGCCAAAAGGATGCGTTTGTGCAAGGCAGGATGCGGAGCAGGGCGCCGCGTCCCGGCTCCGATGCCCTTGGCGCTCGGTCGGTCCCACTCGCAAGTGTCCAGCGAGGCAGCCGAGCCGGCCCCAGAGTATCCACGTTGCAGATTGCCATGTTGCAGATTTCCACATTGCAGGAAAGCACCTAACTACTTACCCGAACGCTGCATGCACGCACGCATGCATGGGGGCGCTGGCCATGCAGCAATAGCGCGTTTGTTTGCCAGGAAAGCCTTATTTGAGCTGTAACTTAGACCGTTGCTTTGCAGGGCCAGCAGGGATTAATTTCACATGCGCATATAGGAAGACTTACCTCAAAAATACCAAGAGAAAGGTATGACAAACTTGGTTCATGACAAAATATTAATGTTACAGACCTACCTTGATGTCTAGCACAAGCAGCCTCCGCTGCCAGCCTGAGCGATGTCTGTGTGCGCTGCTGTACGTGACGCTCTGGAGAGCAGAGATGTGCTCAGCTTTTTCTCAAAAAGCCAGATTTTCAAACCAAATGAAGTGATGTGCATAGAGTTTAGCAGGAAAAAGAAATAAACTAAAAAAAAAAGCAGCAAAGCAAGTACATTCTTGTATATTAGCATTAGTTTAGAAAATAGGCACTGAAATGGCAATACTTTTTTAAAGCGAGACAGATTTGTAATATATTTGTTCACTGTGCAAAGGTATGCTACCTTGTACAAAATAAATGGGATTTCTCTCAGCGTGTGTTTCTCAGACCTGCTCATTTTGCAAAGAGGCTGCCCAGCTCTGCACAAAAACACTCTGGAAGCACCAACTTAGGAGCCAGAGGCTGCATTCACGACTACAGGATTTTTCAAAAAAACCCCAAACGATGCAATTTGGAGTTAACTGCCCCTCTTGCAGCAGGTTTGGCTACTCACAAGGAATCTAGTCAGTGAGCTGCAAGCTCACATTAGCAGCAGAAACACTTCCAGAATTAATAACTCCAAGGCAATGCAGTGGACTGTTACAGTTTGAAGCTTTTTCAATATCTGTGCTTCTTATTTCTAAGAAAATCCTGTTAAACTAAGCTCAGCGTGTAATCCTCTTACTTGACAAGCCACACTCAATAAGCTTTTTAAGTTTGGAAATTCATCAGGTTTCAACTGATAAAATAAGCAGTTCTCGCTTAATGTCTTTGACTGCGAACAACGTCCCGTCCCGTCCCCCCAGGAGTCCCAGCCTCAGGACCCACAAAACACACGCACAGAAAGCACTGCTGCCTGCCGAGCAGGTGATTTGGACTCCCACATATGTCAATGACAGCAAAGGCCTTTGCTGAGTGAAAGCAATTCTGCAGTGTGAAGTTGAAGGAAACGCACATGAGGGCTCAAAAGCAGCATGGCTGATAATCGGCTGCCTCCTACCAGCAGAGGACGGACACGTCGGTGCACAAGTGATGCCGGCTGCAGCCTGGCACGATTCCAAGGCAGCCGAACGGCAGCGACAACGTCCTGCTTTGGGGCTCCAAACGTTCTTGAAGAACCTTCTGCCTCCCAGGAGGGCCACCCTGCCCGGACAGCAGAGCACAGAGGAGCTTACCTGGGAAAAGCGTTATGGACACATGGAATGTGAGGCAAAGGCTTTAACGGGTGAGAAATTCCATTTTGGAAAGCTTTGAAGCCATGTAGGTTTGAAGCCACTGCGTGAGTGTTTCCACTCCACGCTGCAGCAGCTGGCAAGCACGAGAGCAGGTCTTTGCAGGATGTTTCTACCTACCTTGCCTGGCAGTTGCTAATGCAGGAGCCTTGGTGGGAATAGCTGGAGCTCTGCCGCTGCCGCCGGGATTTGTGCTCCGCAGGCTTCGCGTTCCTGCGGAAGGAAACACTTGCACGGATCACACGCAGCGCGAGGCCGGCGCCACGCGAGCGAGCAGCAGCGGGAAGGGAAGGGAAGGGAAGGGAAGGGAAGGGAAGGGAAGGGAAGGGAAGGGAAGGGAAGGGAAGGGAAGGGAAGGGGAGCTCCTTCTTGCATTTCCTGTTGACACATTCAGAAAGCAGTTGCCCCTGTAGGCTGGTTAATTCTAAAACACATTGGAGTGCTGAGGAAGAAAGTACTCACCGGCATCCCAGCGTCAGCGTGGAGCGGCGATGGAAAAGCTGGAAGACCCTGCTGCACACAGCAGGTAGCCTGCTCTCCCGTGAGAACTTTTCTTGCCACCAAATCAGTGAGAACAGGTCTGGAGAAGTCATTATGGAGCTGACGAGAGATCTCACATGGTTTTCAGGCCATAGGAGCTCCTCAAAGCTGCCAAACGGCTGTGGCTGCCGCAGCGCAAAATCTGCACGCTGCGTTGGAGTGAAAAACACCCACTGCTGACACGAGCCTTCCAGCTCCCTTTCGGGGAGCACTTCTCCTTCAACACCTTCACAGAGCATGTCCCCCAAAACAGACTAGCTTTCAGTTGGTAGAAACCTCCGAGTGAAACCGCAGCTCTCCCAAAAAGTGCACCCAACACCGTTCTGAGTCGTCCCCTGTAATTCTTTATTAGAATTATGGATGAATATATTTAAATCAATCTAAAAAAATAATAAATCAAGTTACAGTACATGCATAAAATACAAAGTAATTTACAAACAGATCAAAAGAGCATCTTCAGAACAAATATGAGGAGAAATGGAATAAAAAGAGAAAAAAAAAACAAAAAAAAAGAAACCACAAGTGGCCGACCACAGCAATGCCTTCCGTGTGCCTTACACATCATGAGCACCGCAAGACAGGAAGCTTGGGTAAGAAATGCAGCTGGTTGTGCCCACCCAAACGTGGAAGTCCCAAGTGGGTCATATCAGAGCTTGGGAAACTCTCCCTACCGCCACTTTCCTGTAATTAGATAAATAACTTGCAGGCATTTATACAACAAACTGTTCTTTTAAATAGTGCAGGAATTCAGTGCCCCCAAATCTCAGTATTAGTGACTTACTTTGGAACAGAGCGCATTGTATTGCATGCTGTGGTTTCAGAGGAAGCAGCGAGGAAGGCACAATTCATGTATCCCTGAACAAGCTACTTCAACAGATTATTTGTACCAAAATCCTAGAGAAGGAAAGCATCCAGCAAGGAAACTACGTCAGGCATTTCTGTTAAAGATCAGATACCAAACTACTGGAGTCATTTTAAAAATACCGCATGAAACAGGACTGAAAATTAAGACTGGGTTGTGGAAGTTACTGACTCATCAGCTCAAGCATTTGAAATATTAAAATGAACAACAGCCTTCAAGTTTGTGCATTACAAAGGAAAAAGTTATCCTCAAATCCTGATACCACCAGCACTGCGGAGACCTATTCTTGGGCAACACCAAAAAAGCTGCAAATTCCAGTGTCAGAGCAAGCCCTAATCCGTGAGGGGGCTCCTGCTCCGGACAGGGCAGCTGGGCCTCGCGGCAGCCTCCAAACCACAACTGGCCTCTGCAGCTGTTTGCAGGAGGGCTTTTCCCTCCCCTCCTAATAGTCTGTAAAATCCTCAACTTGGCATTCTGAAGATATAGCCAGAAACATTTAACTTTACATTAAAATTGCACTTCAGAGCAAGAGGCATTCCATCAAGCTTTAGATGCAGTATGCGACACCTCGAGACGAGGAAAGATTGTCCTGCCCAGAGATATTTTCCTAGTTAACCTGACAGTAATTGTTTTGGGAGGACCAGAATAACATCTTCAAGTGCTTACTAAGGACGTCTGCGCTCTGACTAGCGGGCATCACGTTGGAAAGAGCGCGGTTCAGTTCCAAACCATTTACTGGACCAGGGCCAAGCCGGTGTTGGGAAAATACTGCAGTCACATGGAAGCAATAGATTTATAAACACTGAAATCAAAGTGTTTAAGACATGGAGAAATTCAGGAGGAATAAGCAGTAACTGAACACGAGAAAGTAATCACACGAATTACAAATATATTTAAATCTTGGACCTGGGGAATATACACAGCCTTTTAGGAAAGGATGAACATTTCTTATATATTCTGACAGCACTGCATCTTTGGTTTGTTTTCGGTGGTCGGAGGGACATGAATGGGAACCACGTTGTTGCTTGGAGACATGTCGTTCTCCCGTCTGTCGGACATTTGCTTCTGCGAAACGATACGATAGATCTCTGGAAGACGAGAGAGAGACGGTCACTGTGAGAACAGCAGCAGAAGAGCACCCCAACGCAAGCAGGGGAGCCAAGCGCCGCACGAGAGAGAAACAGTTCTGGTCATTTCTAATGAAATACACAGACCCGTACAGGACCGCCTTCCCAAGCTCACTTTCCTAAGCTCGCTTGTGACACCGTCTGCATTTAGGAAGAAAGCAAAACGTAATGACGGGAGCCACGTGGAAGTCACTGTGCAGATCAGCTTCTAGGGGCTCCAGACAAAGAAACACCAGCATGCTGCCAAGGAGGGATACAGTGCCAAGGAGGGACCGGTGCAGCCTGCACCAAAGGCCCTTGCTCGGGTGGGTCTGCTCAAGACACTGACAAGAGCGCTCGCTCCAGCTCGTGCCAGGAAGGTGCTGCCACGCGCGGCACTTCACCCCAGAACGGAAAAAAAGGTACCAAAAATAGAAGAGAACACAGGGAACTTAATGGCCTAAAATGTGAATATGCAAGCAAGTTTAAAAAAGCAAGCTTGCTGAATCTTAATTTAATAATAAAAATGTTTGCAAGCGTTCCAGACGGAGGCAGAAGCCCATCCTGCGGCGGCAGCATCGCACTGCACAGGGCAGCCCGGGCTCTGCCGGCCGAGCGGGGCGAAGGACGCGGCTCCGCAGGTCGCTCTGGCGCACAGAGGCAAAGGTCCAAGTTCCTCCGGAGCCTCAAGGTCCTTTATGGGCTGGATGGAGCTGTCCAACACGTCACATGGCCCCAGAGCCAGAACTGTCTTTCCCAGCAGAAACCTGCCAGGAGCGAGCGGCCGCGGAGGCTGCCGTCGGCACGAGGAGGTTCGGCAGCCTCGCGCAGACGGGCGACACGCGCAGCCCGGGCTGCTCACCCAGCCCAGCCCCTGCCCTCGCAGCGAGGGGACGTGACGGCAGCGAGGAGCTACAAAGCCACCCCCGCTGACAGGCCACACGAGGGACAAGGCTTCAAGGAGCCCACCCGGAGCTACGGCACCAAGAGCGGCCAAACGGGCCGAGCGAGCGGCGCCTGCCCTGGGGCTGCTGGCCAGACACGCTCGCCCTGGGGCTGTGCGTGCAGGGACAGAGCGCTGGGGCTTGCAGGTGGCACTGGGGGAGAATCTGCTTGTCGGGACTCAATAAGGACAGCACAGACTCAAACAGGAAGGACCTGTTTGGAAAGCCGGGTATTGCAGGTGCTTCCAGGCACACAGCAAGCAGCTGATAGGAACAAACAAGGGCTGCACAAGCAAAAGGATTTTCCAGTTTCACCCTTGTGAGAGTTCCTGGTTGTTCCCAGCGGCTCCACAAGCTAAGCAAGTCACGCCAAGTCAATCCTAAAGCCGCCCGCGCTCCTCCTCTTAGGCAGGACGTGGGGCTTTGTGCAGCAGCTCGTGCGGAGCTGGGAGGAGGATCTCAGCAGAGGAACCTGCTCCTGCTCCTCAGGACGGGCCGTCATCAGGGTGCGGGTGGCAGCTCTGCTGCAGCCTTCACCCTTCTGAAGAACTTCCAAGCAAGTCCACACTAGTCACCAGTGTGAAGTGTCACTCACCTCCTCGGCCCCTGTGCTCTGGCTCTCAGAGAGCCACGGGGCTCTCTGCACAACAGCATCATCTTAGAGCAGTCACTGATCTCTGGAGCTGCATATGAAGCCTTAGCCATCTTAATATCAACCATTTATCTGCTAATAAAGGTTCTTTTCCTTTGACTCTGGGACGATCCTCCCTTCTGAGTCTCATCCCACTGCCCTCGTCTCCCAGGGTCCTACAAGGACGCGGCAGCAGGGCCGCTCGAGCAACGCGAGGGACCCGCAGCTGGCGCCCCTTGTCCCTTCTCCCTCCTTGGCAGGGAACATTTGTGCAGCCAGAGCTCTGCAGTGCGAGAAGGCTGGTGGGGACAGCCTGAACCTGCTCTCCCTGGGGCGAAACGCCCCGAGGCAGAGCCTGCAACACGGAGAGCAGCGCCCAGCACCGCCACGCTGAGCCACACGGGCACTTCTTAAATGAAGACACCGCACTTCATTCTCTGCTCAGAAACTGAGCTGGCTCCTATTAAGAGCACATTCAGCAGAAGGCAGCACTGCATAATTGGTAATTCTGAGAGACAGACACTGCACTAAGAGGGAAAATGACACTGCTGTCTGCGGAGCTGACCTGGCCCTTGTCTGCTCAGCCAGCGCTACTATTTAATTCATTTCCAGGTGCACAGAGCAAACGAGAGGAAATCCTTAGATTTCTTGACATTAACGCTCTGTGATTTTGTTTCCTCTAGACGGAAACCCTTAGAGACAAAACCACAGGCAAACACAGGAAACAAATATCAGGGAGCAGGGGGAGTGCAGGCAGACTCCTGTGTTTGAAGGATGCCTTATCCTCCTGCAAGCGCTTCGGCGGATGCAGCTACACCAGCAGCCCCTCCTGTTTTGCCAGGAGCTGCCAAAGGAGTTTCGCGTACACAAGGGCCAGCCCTTGAAGTCTAGACCTCTTGCAACAGAGGAATTTGGACAGGGACCTTTAAGCCACAGAGAAGGTGCCCAAAGCCTCAACAAGCACCACACCGCAGAGCAGGAAGCCCCGTTCAACAGGAGAGGGGAGTTTTGCTGCAGAACGTAGTCGCAGACACCCTGTTGAGGGGAGATCTAAGCAAGGGTGTGCAAGGCACCAGAGCCGCCTGCAACTCCGTAGAGGGCAGTTCCCAGCACTGCAAATACCGGCCGGGCTGGCGCAGCCGCATCCCCTGCCCCTGTCACCCACCTCTGCCCGCAGCCTGGGGCTTTCCCAACTTGCTTCTTCAAAGGAGAGCCAGGATTGCAGCCTCGGGCCCCAGGCTGAGAGGGGACCTTGCCAAACACACACGGCCCCTCCACGATTCTGCAGAGTCACCCTGGAAGCCACATTCCTAAGATGCCTGCTTGCCTCTCTCCTTCAAAGCAAATCATTAACAGAAGGGGCCAGTTGTGAAGTGTTATCAAGAAGTTTATTGGCAGAGCATTCTCCCTCTGCATGCCAGTCAGAGATGGAGGCAACCTGCTGCTAATGCATTATTTACTTCAGCTTTATCTCCCTGCAGCAGGAGCTTATGTCTGGAGCCAGCCACACGCTCACTAATCAGCACCAGTGTTTCCTGCAGCACAGCCGAACCCCTCCTGAACAGAGATGCTGTCTGCACACCCGAGAGCTCTGTACTCAAAACCCCGTCACAACAGCACGCGGGGAACACTGACATTTGTGGAAAAGCAACAGCCCTAACAATCCATCAGCATCCAAGGGCAAGTTCCAGTCACCCGTTCTCCCATTACAGACTGCACTCCCTTACGGGAAAGTTAAACCAGGAAATCAAGCCGCCACTAATGAGAATCCAGAGTAAGCTCTGGAATAAAAGGGGCTGCTGGAAGAGATGAAAGAACCTAGCTGGTGCCTGAGGGGGAAGGGGGAAGCTGCTTCCCTACAGCAGCAGTGGGACACGGAATCCGAGCATCACTCGGCTCGGTGAGAACAGCCTAGACATGCAGCAAAATTCCCTTTAGCCACCACTAGCAGAAGATGCTGCAAGAGAAGATTACAGGCAATTAGGTGACCATTTCATGCTGGATATGGCCCAGCCCGACAGACGGCCTGGGGGGAATAAACTGCTTGTGATATCTTTCGGGCTCTTTTTACTTAGACTGGTGCTGAACGAGCATGGCAGTTAAATTCCATCCTTTATCCCAGAGTCCTGATCCCTCTGGCAACGGAAAGGGCAGAGAGCAAAGCTGAAGAGTAGCTCTGCAGCACATGCAAGGCATTTAGCCAGAGTCTGACTCCAAAGTTCAGCAGCTCTGCCTAAGGGCTACCAAAAGAGACATGGATAAAGGCTGAAGTTTTAGAATCCAGCAGTTACAACCAGGCAATAATAAAGGTGCTTGTCCCAAGACATCCAAGCCTGATTTCACATAAGCACGTGACAAAATTTCCTTTAGGTGGGTGAAGGAGAGGGAAGTCCACGTAGCACCTCAGCCAGACACCATCACACTCAGCCACTCCTTAGCCACCCACCCTCTGATGGCATCACAAGTTGCTCATGAGGGTATAATGGATCAGCTCTCAGCTTTTTTTCTTTGGGGGAATTTGTGCCACGTCAGGAAGGAGGAAGCCTAAATTTGAAGTTTGGAAACACGTTGGAAGCACTCAGAGAAAACAGATGCAACTCCCCGATGCAGCTAATACAGGGAAATATATCACAACAACACTAAAGCAGCCGTATGTTTTGAAGAGTCACCCTGGAGCTTTGGAGAGGCATTTGTGAAGGCTGAGAATCACTCGCCTTCAAACACTGCACATGCTGCTCTTGTGATTGTGTCTGCTTTGTCCCGGCCATAGCTGCTTGGGCAGGTCACAGCTAAGATTCCTGCATAGCTGCAGTTGAGTTTTGCTCATCAAACAAGGTTTAAACGGAGTGTTTTACACAAAGAGCACAAAAACTGCAAAACTTGCTCCCCTCACATGCTTTAAAGGCCAAAGTCCAGTCAGGACTATTAAAAAGCAACGACAGCAACTCCCTTTCATCTTAGAAGTCCCTAAATCTCAGACTGCCAAGCAGTGCTCAAAGAAGAGTCAAACAGGCTGGACTGACTTCCCCTCTTAAAAATAGCACCTATTTTAACTTGCTACTTGCATGAAGCAATTCTCTCCCACACACACTCCCTTTCCCATAAACAGATGTGAAACTGCAGCATATAAAGGGAGCTGACCGGAAAGCAGGTACAAAGTGAACAGGGTTTTTTGAGTCCACGGCTGACCTAACAGCTGGGACATCTCAAAAAAAAAATCAGGCTCTGCATCTTTTATCTGTGAAGAATGGTTAAACGGGAAAGTTTCAAACACTTTACAAGCAAAGAAATGCCCATTTGCATCTCATCTGAGCAGCATTCTACCTTCCTCCCTCCAGAAAGCAAGCCCCAGATGACTCACCTGTCAGAATAGTCTGGAAGGCAGCTTCCACGTTTGTGGAGTCTAAAGCAGACGTCTCGATAAATGACAAACCATTCTTCTCTGTGTGGACAGAAATACAGTAATTAGAAGGGAGCACCATTTATCTTTCCCCCATCTGGAAGACCTTGTGCAGAGGTTGTTCCTCACAAGTAACGTGGTACCAGGAAAAAAAGATTGGAATTGTGGGGTTTCCCCTAATGTGATCTGAAAGCAAGGCCACGCAATGCCAACAGCTGAATTTACACTCATCTGAGGCCCAGGGAGCAGTTCAGTGCTGTGGTACTTTGAGGTATATCTTCATGCATCACTGAAAGGGAGAATTTATAGCACTTTCAGGAAATGCGTGAGGAAGTTTCCTACATTATCTTTAACCTCATCAAGTTTCACCGCCTCCCACTTAGTAAAATAAAACTCTGTGCCAAAGCAAATGTCTTAACCTATTGTTTCGTACAGCACAGAAAGGCTCAGCATGAGCTGCAGAAAAACTCTTCCCCAGACTGCCTCTCCCTGGCCTGTAACCCTACGAGGAAGGTACTTGAGCTTAGGTGACCCAAGGTGCACATTTCAGTGAAGACACGGCCATCTCGATCCCGCACAGGGCTCAGAAACACAAGGGCAAGAAGAGCTGGATTTTGCTTCTAAGAGTTCTGAGGAGCTGTATTTCCCAGCTTTTTGACTTCATCAGTAGCTAATCTAAAGCACAATGTGAAAAAGTATTTTTGCAAGTATGTCACAGCAGCTTATTTAATAGAGCCAGCCGTATAAAGGGGAAGGATAGTCCTGTATCTGCAGGCAGACACCTCACTGTTCATAAAGTGCTCAGAAATAAGCAGTTACGAAAATCTTCAATGCAAGAAACACAGCTACACCCCAGGATGAAAGAAATTTGCCCTGAAACAAGCTAGGATTTACAGAAACTACAATAACCTTTAAAATTATTTTTACAAGGTTAGCTCTTAATTATGAAAGGTAAACTGCATTCTGCCTCTAATTAGAAAGCCTGCTCACCTAGCAGCATATGCTCAGGGTTTGAGAACAGCTGATACAAAGAAAACAGCATACAGATGGTAATGTTACCACGATGCAGCAGGCTCAAAGCTAAAGCCATAGCTGCAGTTTCTGTGAGAAACACAGTCCATAGGAGCGAGACTAAAGCTGGCTTAAAACCAGCTTCAGTGCCTCTGGCTGATTCTTGTAATTGCATCAGCATTTTCGTTTTGCCAAGGCTTCATTTCTGACTATATAAAAACACGACAAACATTAGCATGCATCACTGAAGAACATTACCAGCAGCAACCCTGCCTTAACAGGACACACATGTAACTCAGACACTGCACCAGGGAGGCAGATCCTCAGACTGCAGATTCCCTAATCAGCATTAGGGAATTATTTTGGGCTCACCAACCTGCAAAGGCTCTGGCCTCATCCGTAGGGACGGCTCTCAGGTGGCGCAGGTCACTCTTGTTCCCCACGAGCATGATGACTATGTTGCTGTCAGCGTGGTCGCGCAGCTCTTTCAACCATCGCTCTACGTTCTCGTAAGTAAGGTGCTTAGCAATGTCATAAACCAGGAGCGCCCCTACGGCACCACGATAATACCTGCGAGTAAAAAAGATTGTTAAGTTACCCCAGGCCACGTGGGTGAAGCAAGGGGATCTATAGGGAGCTACTGTCACCTTCTACCTGTGACCCACTCCTGAAAATTTTCCCCTCCCAGTGCACTGGGTACCATGGCACAGCCTGCAGCGATACAGAGACTTTAAAGTGACTCACAGGATCAGAAAAGTGTCAACCCTTTAAGCAAGGCTGCAGCCAGTCTCCTTGCAGAGCCAGAGTGGCACAGCTAGATATTCAAGGAGGAACAGGTTGCATTTTCCCACACTTGGTTATCTCCAGCTTTTGCCATGCTACTTTTTCAAGTACAAGCATGCAAAAAGAGCAGTCTTTCCTCAGTGCTACATTAGTTTCTGCTTTTCAGTTACCACTCACAGAATGGAGTGAATTCTGTGCAGTTACCATCCATAGAATGGATGCAAATATTATTTTATCAATTACTAGTGATTAAAGAAGTCTCTCAAAGGTATTCTTTCACCCCAGGCCAGAAGTACCTCCAGTTACATATTGTGAGATCACAGAAAAGCAAAGCAGTTTGTTCAGGCCTACACTGTATCAACATTGTGGACAGCAGGCTAAGGTTCAGGCTTCCTTCCCCAGTAAGCTGTGGATATGATATAATAAAATATAAACACCCCAAATATTCCAAGGAAGCAGAGAGGCCCATAAATTACCTCCCTCCACAAAAGGGAGGTTCTCTTTGGCAATACGAACTATCACTTACGCTGATGTTATAGCTCGATACCGTTCCTGCCCCGCGGTGTCCCATATCTGAGCCTTTATTGTCTTCCCATCAACCTGAATGCTCCTTGTTGCAAACTCCACCCCAATGGTGCTTTTGCTCTCCAAGTTAAACTCATTGCGAGTGAATCGAGACAGAAGGTTACTCTTGCCTACTCCAGAGTCTCCAATAAGTACAACTGCAAGATAAAAAAAAAAAAAAATGACATTAGAATCAGATGCAGGTCATACATTGAGATTCATCAGTAACAAACACACTTATCTTCCAGAATGAAGAAAAATATAGCAAAACATCCCCTCCTTGTCATGGGTTTATTGTGCATGATTTGAGGTTATTAGAGAACCAGTTCTGCCAGAGTCACCAGTATTCTGAACAGACTCTAAACTGGATTCTTAGTCACTGTATTTCAGTCTCCTTTGCCCAACCCTGAAGGACATTCTTCCTCCAGGAAGAGTACACATGACTCACTACAAAAGTCAGCACTTCATGAGCGACAGTTTGGATTTCACACACTTGTAATAACGCTAGACCTAAAAGTCAACTGAAACTTTTATCAGTTATCTGTTTTGCTGAAGCAGAAGTCCAAAACGCAGGGCAAGATAGCAGGTTTTGCCCCAAGCTCACTATTTAGACCTTTGCAGAAGAAAGTTCTCCACTAGCAGAGGAAAAATCAGAATTGCAGAAAAACAACCACCAAGACTAGTGCTGTGACCCCTGGTTGCTTTGGGTCAGGGCCTGAAGTGGCTCCTAAACGAGGCCAGGACTATAATTTCTGGCTCTGAATGAGAGCCAGCCTCACTCCGGCTGAACCTCTGCTCGCAGGATGGGTACTATGTTTAACAAGAGACTGAAAGAAGGTTTAAAGTCCAAAGGAAAAAAGACCCATGATTCACTTTAACATCCTGTAATGCTGAGTTGTACAAGTAAAGTGTAACACAAAACTCACTACCAAGACATAAATGAGACACATTGAGGCCCAGGCCACGCCAAGAGGAGCCTCCCTGGATGATCTCACACACAATGAAAGATTAAAGGCCCGAGCTGATAACAGGAGAAGGAAATGGAGGACAAAGAAGATGAGTAAGATCCAAGACAAAAAAGGCGATAACCTTCATTAAGTTGGCAGTAAATTAAGGGTAGACGAAGGAAAAGTGTCCACCACTTGAGTTAAAAAATATGGCAGGAGAACTTGTTTTCAAAAGAAAAAATAGTTACAGACATTATTTAAGACACCAGCACAAGGCTATGAAAGCTGCCTGGTACAACAAACAAACAAGTGCAGTGAATGAATTTCAGACACAGGAGAAGCCCCCGCAAACCCGAGGCCAGCAGAGCAAAACCTCCCGTCTGCTGCAGGCAGCCCCTTTCCGCAGCCTTCTGGACACCATCTTCTACTGAAATAATGCAGAGTGATTCTGGCAAACAGAATTTTCCTTGACTCTAGCACCAGAGAAGCACCTTTTAAACTCCATCCACAATATGAAAATTGAAGCAGACGCTGGCTTCAAAACATTACACTTCATTGAAACAAGCACCTTTCCAGCTCGCTCTGACGGAGCCAGCGGCCCGGCAAGCTGCAGAGGCTGCACCCAACGCACCACAGCGCTGCAACCACTTCTCTTTATGAAGGTGACATGTGGCTCTGCTGAACACAAACAGCGTCCTGCTTTCCTATGACAGGGCAGCGGGATTTCAGTGTCAGCTGCCCCGACACAAGATGCCGAGCTAATAAACTGGGCGCTGGGGACAGGGCACCGAATTGCATCATCATCACTGGCAAAACGCCGCAGGTTTCTTCTTGCACTGGCAAAGAAATCAGACCTTCAAAGCTGCTTCGGCAGGTTTGGGCCACAGCTTTGCATTTGTGACACGGAAGTTCCCAGCAGCAAAAACCTGTCAAGTCCCTTGACACCCATTTGCCTTTTGCTCCTGCAGTCACCTGGCTAGGCCAAGAGCTAAAGGGAAGCTCTTCACCCAAATCATTTCATTTATCCAGCACATTATATCATAAGTCTTTTAAGTAGCAATATCAATTAGTTCAGGAACATTCCTTCACAAATATTTTGCTGTTTGATGCATGTTTAAAAGCAGTTTTCAGGAGTCTGGCTATTCTAAGTCCTTCACCAGATTTTTCTTACCTTGTCCAAATCCCATGTTGCTTTTGTTCTGCACAGTTTCCAGCACCAGATTAATCTATGTCCCACTTAAGGAGAGGGGGGAGTGGAATATTAGGTATTCCTGTTTCTCAAAACCTGATATTTCCTCCACTTAACTGGGCCACGGCAGCTCCTCTCTCCTAGAAACACTAGGAATAACCTGGGATTAACCCATTCTGACTGTCCCAGGAAAACAGTTTCAGGGGGGAGAGGGGAGGTGGAAATCATGGAATCTAGTTCCATATTAAGGCTAATTGTTCCTGCACACACAATCCTATTGGGCTCCTCTTCCAGAAATGCACTCTTAATACTGTCATCCAACTTTCAGGAGAAATTAGTGGTCAGCCAGTAGTGGTATCTGTGTGCCAGTGCTGTCCATTAGCTTATTAGTTTCTTCTCCCAGCGGTGTTTACACTGGGTTATTTACAGACAGCAGCCACATCTTCTCCCAGCCTCCTTCTGCTAGCTAAATGCACCAACCTCTCAAATGCTTCACTGTGAACACACCTTCCAGTTACCCTGGTGTTGTCCCTAATTGTATTTTGATTTAGTACTTTACCACAATGAGAACTTCATCTAATATTCCAGGTGAGATCTCATGGTGATATATTTTAGTATTTCCAGCTCTACTACAGTTATTTCATCTCAGTGGCCTAGTCAGTTTGCAATGACACCTAATCACACCAGCTTTCAATTATCAGATTTTTAGTTTATTAAGCTTTTAGTTTAGAGTTCCTACAGGTCCCGTGCATAAAACCTCACATTCTGAGTCTCACTGCACATATAGGACTGCACTCATCTTCATCACCTAGTCTTCCTCCTGGTGCTGTGTTCTGATACTCTTCTGCACTGACACTGCCCCCAGAAAATTCATTACCACATTAGCACTAGCAGGATTACAGTTTAGAAGAAGCCTTAAGCAAATTTAGACACAAGACCATTCCTTGAAAAACTCCCTCAATAACCTTCTTCTCTTCCCTTACACCATTAGCACGTTTTTTGTCAAGGCTTTTGTAATCAGGTGAGATTTATATTAGGACATCTTCAAAAAAACTGAGAATATCCAAAGTGAATTTTCCCTCCCTCCTGCCCCAGTTGACTTAAGTAGGACATTTTTACTGGTTTAAGGATGTGCCAGTTCAATATTTGTCACAATCTCCTTTAAATCAATGTAGTTAGCCTTCACCCCTGAAAAGGTTTCTTTAAGACAAGTATTTGGTGGACAAAACCTTGCAGGGCAAAAGCCTGGAAGTAGTAATTTCATTCTGTAAGTTTTAGTCTTAGAGACCCTCTCTAAGGAGGTCTCTAAGGGGACATTCACTACCCATATATACTATTATATATATAACAGAGCTGGGCCTCCAGGTGCTGCTGCTGCAGTAAATCAGATAAGCAGGTTAGATTTGCTGTAGCACAAAGGTGCCTTCACATCAAAGAGCAAAAGACGCAGGGCCTGCAAGCATTTACAGAGCAGAGCCTCTCATTCAACCACTTTTCCTTGCAAGTTTCTAGAAACAAAGGGCGCAAGACAAAAACACACGCTTCAAATCCAAACCAACAGGTCCGCACGGTTTCACAGCATTTCTTCAATACCAGAAGAGCTGGATAAATGTCCAAGACGTAAAGTGGGAGGCAAGTGCCTAAGACTGGAGAGTATTTTTCTAACAAGCAGCTGACGGACGCTGCAAGTCAGGTCTGCATTCAGAAACAAGAGGCTCAGCCCCAAAGCCAGAGCTGCAGACAGGGGACAGACCTAAGTGCCTCCTGCTCTGCTCGGGAAGAGCTCTTCTACAAAAAGTGAGATTACATATAAGGAAGGAAGAATACAAAAAGGCATGGAGAAGCACAACAAGAATTTATAATAAAATGTCTTTTTAGCATGTGCTAAGTCTCAGCGTAGCTTGAAATGTAGTCAGGAGAGCATTTTATAGCAAGTGCTCCAATTTAATTGTAGGACAGGATAGGTGGGCTCAGATTACACCCACCAGCACAGTCAGACAGACTGTAACGCACAGCCGCTGTCAGCGGCTGACAAAGCAAAACCAGAGGTCTCGAACAGCCCAGTGGCAGTTTAATTCAAGTGTAGTAAGAGCCTGCTAGACTGCAGATTATTACTCTATGTTTTTAAAGCAAGTCGAATTGTGACCTCAACTTCAAATTGTCACAAGCTTTAAAGTTCATAAACTTAAAGGAGCAGTCGTCGTGGATTAAGTGTCCTTAGAGACCGATAGCAGCCAAGAGCAGATGCCTGAGAAACATTATGAAAAGAGAACAAACAAACTTATCTTTGTCCCAGCAGGTCCTAACATCTCCAAACAAGCAGTACCCTCAGTCTTTCCATTCTTCTCGTCATAATAAAAATGCCTCAGATATTTTTCTTCCCCTATGAATCTGAAACCTTTCAAAGCCAGTTACACCTTCTGTTTATGACAACAAACTGCTCCAGAAATTACACACGCCTTTCGTGAGACTTTACTTCCCTTTGTTTGAGCCTGCTGATGAATAAAAGCAGCATTAAGATTACTCAAAGAAATTATGAGAAACAGCAGGCAATCATTCCCTAGTCGTCTATATCACTCATTTGCATTCTGATAAAGTTGCAGTTCATTTCACATTAAGGCACATGAACGCTTTAGCTCTCTCACAATTATTTTGATGCCTTTCTCTCTAATTCTGTCATATCCCCTTCAAAACAGGCATGACCATCCTGCCTATATTTCCCTCCTCTGCCTAAAAAGCTCTTGTCTTGGATTCAAACAACGGCACAGAATTCCCAGTAAGTTCTTGGTTCCTCTTTCAGTAATTTTTCACCTACCACTTTTGGACCAGCACCTAGTAGCAAGAACTATTCACGATAATTGCAAGATCTTTCCAGAAAGGAGAGAGTTTATTTAGAATCCCCATCCCATGTACGTATTTACAGCTGCTCTCCCTATTTGTATTACCTGCATTTGTTATTTCAGCTATGATACCAAACCCCATTACGGGACATTGCAGGGGCCTCCCGCGGGCTCCTCTGGCGTTGACGGACCCAACTTGTCACCTCCCGTCACCACTTCCATGGCATCCCCAAATGCAACAGCATCTACAAACTAGCTTAAACGTGAGCGGCTTTAGGCTGGGACAACCAAATAGAGCAGCTTTGAACACTCCTAGACACCTAGATCCCAGCTTTATGGGATCTACTCTTAGTTTAAGAGCTTAATAAAAGAGAGCAGGTCTCCCTGCAAACGCCATCTCACTTTCATTCTCACCCTTCATAGCTCCAACGTGAGTCACAAACATATCACTGAGAGAGCTTATAAATATGTAATGCGATGGTTTGATAACCTGTGTACATAAGTACTTAAAGTAAGACTGTTCAATGCAATCAAATTAGCAGCCGAAATGGCTCTGGCCTATGCTGCAAGTGAAGAAAAGCGGCATTTTTTGGAACTGACTTGATTTTAACTGCAGTGCAGATGACTGCTTTACACTCGGCCATTTAGAAATAATGCCATGTTTGCACACGGAAATTGAGCAAGAGAGACAAAGAAATTCCTCAAGGTTATTAGAGGAAAGGAGGCTGCCTTGTTCATTTAAGAGGTTCCTCACACGAGGCTAAGGATGGCACCTCTCACAAGTTGAGGGTACCAAGCAGAACTGCAAAACCTAAACTCAGAATGCCAGGACAGCACCGCAACGAGGAGCTATTTTAAATACACAGAGATGTATTTTCAACGGGTGATTTTTAATTCCCGGGCACGAGCACCCTGGAAGCGCCGCGGCTCCAGCGCGGGGGTCTCCGATCCCCGACGGCAGGGCGGCGCTTGGGCCGGCGGGGCCTTGCCGGGGCCCGGGCGCCCCGCGGGGAAGGGCCGAGGGCCCGCGGAGGAGCAGGCCCTGCCGGAGCACGACCCCTCCCCACGGGGCAAGCGCGGAACCGACCCGTTTATCGGCGGGGCGGGAAGGACGCGGCCCGCGCCGCCGTGCTGGGGGGAGCAGGCCCAGCCCCCCGGCCCTCGCTACCTTTGAACAGATAGTCGTACTCGTCGTCGCGGGTGCCCATGGCGGCGCGGGGGACGGCGAGGACCGGCACGGGCGACGGGAGCGGCCGCACCCCTCCCTGCACCGCCGCAGCGCTTCCGCCTCCGGGGCGGCGCCGCGCGCGCCGTTTCCGCCGGCGCCGCGCCGCCCCTGCGGGCCGCCGTAGCAGGCTGTAGGCGCGGGCGGGGCGCTCCGCTGCCAGGCGGTTCCATGGTGTAATGGTTAGCACTCTGGACTCTGAATCCAGCGATCCGAGTTCAAATCTCGGTGGAACCTGAAGTTTTTGCCTTTCCCCAGCCCTCATTTTGTATTTTTTTTCTCTCTTTCTGTCTCTCGTCCTGCAGCTGATGACACCTCAACGAACTCTTCTTTAACGAGGTGCCTCCCTTTAGGGTATTCACCCGGTATGGGAGTCCCATAAGGGTCTGGGGAGCCCCATGGTGGCTGCAGCCCCATCCTCAGGCCCACTGGGGCCTCCAGCGCGTCCCAGGCCGTGGGGCACGAGACCTGTCTGGCATGAAGGGCTCCCAGCATCACCTTTCAGCCCTGCGTGCGGCCTGGGGTAAATCACCATTCCTGGCATTGCAATGCGGGGTAAATCATACCTAGGGGTGCTGCAACAGGGGGATAAATTTTGTTTATGGGCCTTGCAAGGTACGGATCCATTGAATTTATGGACATTGCAATGTGGTAATAAATGGCACTTAGGGGCATTGCAACATCAAGGTAATTGCACTTATGGACACGGTAACACGGCAGGTAAATCACGCTTAAGGATATTTCAAGGCCAGACCCCACAGGAGCAGCAGCCCTCAAGGAGCAGCGTGGGGACCAACTCTGCAGGCAGATGTGTGCCCTCCGAGCTGGACCTTGGTTACGAATCCCGTTCATGCAGGCCCAAAAGGAGTCTGCAAAAGTGTCCGGGCTGCTCTGAAGTTCTCTCCGTGCAGCGAGTCGTGCATTAAAGTTAATAGCGGCTTCTCGTGCGTGTAGAGGCTCCATTGTATTTATAGCTCTGGAGTTGAGGTTTCCACCACACATCCTATTTTCAGGCTGCCATTGATCTTTGTCATTAGAAAACTTAATTTTAACCTGACGTTTCTCAGGCCTAGTTTCAACCTTCAGAGATGCTGTCACTTAAAAAAAACAAACAAACAAAAAAAAAAACCACCCATTTGTGTTATTTTTAGATGGCCTTCTTTAAGAGTAGTTTCGTTTGGGTAATTTGGATTTGTCAATCAGCTGAGAACCTGTAAACACCCTTTATTTACATGTTTCGCATGTGTAAGAGTCACTTCCTCTTGCAGGAAGCTGCAGATATTCCTAATCTGGATCTGGCTAGTGAAGAGTAAACTGAGAGCAATAAATGAGGGCAGCATTGGACTGGCAGGGAGCTGAAGAAATTAAAATGCTGTCTATGTGTATATTCTGGTCAGTTCTGCATTAATTCTGTTCCTGATCATGCAAGCCCAGGTGAGAAGCCACAAACCTTTGGGAAATGCTCTTGGTGGTAAAGACCATTTCGGTCCCTGCAGCAACCGTGATGTTGCTGCATCACGGGCTGCCTCGGACCCCTCCTGCTCGTATGAAACATGGCCAAGAAGTAGAGGTCACGTCTGAAATACCAGAGCGCTGACGACTTTTAACGTGTCGGAAATCATCCTGCACTGGAAACTCTGCTGCAGGAGCTGCCAGTCATGCCAAACTTGTGGGAAAACTCAATTCATTGCAAACCCTGAGTTTTCACGGTCTCTTAATTCTTCAGTTTGCACTTAGAAAGAGCATTTGTGGAGGCAGCCCGTTCCAAGCAACCGGAGCAGAGATGAGGCCTGATGCTCAGCTGGCCCTGGGGCGGTTAATTTAGTGGAAAAAAAAGCAGCAGAGGTCACGCTCGTAACTGCATATTTATGGTTCCTTCTGGAAATTCATCCACGAGTGGCCAAATGAGCCCAAATTTTGCCTTGGCAGCACATTTAAGGTGCAGGTTTGTGTCAGGGCTGTCAGCCCCAGCGTGCTCAGCCGCCGGTGCTGCGTGCCTGGCTTCCCCATCCCCGCTCCTGCCTCCTGCTCCTGGACCCCACGAGAAATCCTCACCTGAAAATAATAAGAGGGGTTTTGCCCCATTTTTGGTGCTCTTAGTTTTCCCACATTAAGGTCAAGGTCTCTTTGCAAAAAGTGCTAGTGGGATTTGGCCTGGAAATAGAAGAAAGGGAAATACGTCTGGGCAGTAGTTTAGCAGCAGCACTGCTGGTCCCAGATTTTCTGACCCTATATTCCCCATCCACACTGTGCAAAACCCATTAAATTGCAGCTCAGGGAATGACCTGGAGTAGGAGCCACCGTAATTCAGATCATCCGCAGATGGTGTTGACCCACATTCCTGATTTCCAGATGAAAAGAGCCACTGACTTCCCCTGTCCCAAGGCAGGAAGGACAAAAGTGAAGCCCCATCTACCCACCCAGTTCTATCGGAACAGAGATATTTCCTAAGGGGGAAATCCAATCAATACTTTCCAATTTTCCAACAAACAACGAATCGTTGCAATTACACAGAGATAATTCAAGCTTTCCAATCCAGCAGTTGAATTAGAGAAGAAAAGCAATTTTTATCAGTCAGTACCCCAGGCTTGACATAAGTAGACCTGCAAAAGGCAGTGTAAGCATGAAATGCATCCACTGAAACAGCAAACCCTTCTTTTTTAGAGCTCTGGACCAAAGGCAAAGGCTCTGTGGTGCACAAGGAGTTGCATATTCATACAGTTTCTTGCCAGAGACCTTCCAGCGGCTCTGTCAAAATTGCCCTCCAAGAAATGATTTCTAAGAAACAGCTCAGAAATCATCTTGCTGTTACTAAACCCTGTTGTAGACTTCCTTTCTTTCTCCCTTCTCTTTCTTGCTTGGAGCAATGGGCTTTAATGTGGCAGGAGACCCCTCCTCCTGCCCCTGGCTTTGGGAGCCATCCCCTTCCCCGTGCGGATTTCTCTCAAGCCGCTCCAACCATATTCATTGTTTTCTTATAGGGTGCGATAAATCCTTCAGGCAAACCACAGGCTGTAACCACTATAAGAGCATTAATTTATTAACTAGAAACCCCGATATTTCAATAATCCCTTTATAAATATGTTAAGGGTCTGTTTTGCCAAGAAAATGACAAAATGTGGCTCACCGTCCCAAGGATATTCCTCAGAAATCCGCTAGGTGTCCTACTGTTTTCGAGTAATGAGGCTCCTGGGGTTTGAGTTGTTTTCTTTCCTCGCTTTGGCGGAGAGGAATTTGATTCTTCAGCAGAGCTAGACCCAGGTGGAAGCGACACGAATGTACGTGGGTTTTTGCAATGCAGCAGGGCATGTGACACGTAGCAGCGTCTCCTTTGGCCACTCGTGTTTCCCACTGGGACCATCTCAAGGTTAGAGCCTGGAAAAGAAAAAGACCTTGCCTTCGTCTCTGAGGAGCGCCAAGCAAGATCCGTCAGAGCCAAATCCTTTCCTTAGTCAGCCTGGGGCGCCTATTTATAGGCCTGCTAAAGTGCATCCAGCGCTGACCTTAAAGGTAGTGGCAATGTGCATCCTTAATGCGCGCTGACGGCCGTTGCTGGGGCTGCTCTCCTCTGAGGAGAGCGGAGAAGGATGGATTTTCCCATCCCACGAAATACTGAGAGTGCAGCCAGGACGAGCGGCTGCTTGGCTGCTCCTTCATCGTGCAGCCGGGAGCAGGGACACCGCAGCAAGCGGAGAGGGTTGGGAGGCTGTGCGTCCCTCAGCCGTCCTGCGAGCTCTGCCTTGCACCAAATCCTAGCCCAATACGGTCAACTTCTCTGAAACCGTCCGTGCTTTAGCTGCACAAAAAGCCTCTGCCATCCCTCCGGTGCTTTCCTTGATTGGCTTTGGGTATTTGCAGTGTAGCAGAGAGGGGTGACTACAAAGTGATTTTCTTGGTCTTGCCATGGAAGCACCTATCATGCTCCGTGTCGACCCTATGGACATCTCTCTACCAAGAAATGATTGCTGCGTTTAAGAATTCCCATCTCCTTCCCTCTGGTTTCACAAGGCTGCCACATCTTGAATTTACCCCAGATCTACAGGAGGCAAATGAGGAGAAAATTCATCTTCTATTGAAAAAAACAACACGAAAAAATACAGGGGACAAAGATACTCCTAAGCAATGAGTTTGTCCCCTCTTCTGTAGGATCTTCATGGCTAGAAGTTCTACCCTCCACTCTCGGCAGTGCAAATAGGCACCAGACAAGGTATCGGCGCCAGCTTAATCACCAGCTGCGAGGGGAAATCAGAGGGGGAACAAGAGCCTTGTGCCCTCAACCCACCTGGATCCGCTGCCATCGGGCGTTTTGCATCCCGGGAAGCGCCTAGCATCTGTCCTGTGCCATGTGTTGCGTTCCTGGCTGTGCCTTTTGCTCTCTGTGTTGAAGGTATGACAGTCATTTTCCTGACAACCTGCAAGAAGAAAAGATGCTCCGATCTTTCAACTGTATGGTATATATAGATACCTGCTGTAGTCCTATCCATATGCAGCATGCGCCATATGCTGTGAAGCCGCGTGTAACCTGGTCCGGAGCGTGTTTGCTGCTATACATAACAAACACCTCAAGCCTTGCCATGATTCAGTGCATTATGCATGGGAGCCATCTGGTCCTGCAGCTTAAGCAGCAAACTGAAAATTCGACAAAAGCACAAACAGTCACAATGAGAGAGACTGAAAGGATGTGTTGATATTCCAGGCAGGAGGCTCCTTCTGTGTGTGTGGAGACTAATCTCATAACCCATTGCCTCTTTCATGCTTCTTTCTCTGGAAAGCTGCAGCTGGGCAGGTTGCACTCAGCTCAGTGACTGTCTACACCTTTGGGATGCTAAAAGTGCATTTCATGTGCTCGGGTGAACCTTCTGGGATGAGACCTCTCTCACCAGCCAGCTGTGCAGTAAGCAAGATGCGCAAGATGTTTGGGCTGCAGCGTGGTTCATGGAGACCAGCTTGATCAAGGATTCAGGTTGGTTTAAAATGCACTTTTAATTATGATTAGTCATTAACATTATCTCATGGCTGTGCAGAATTAAGAGCTTTGGGTTTTGATAGACTGAAAGAG